GTTACAGGCTGGGCTTAAACCACAACACAGGGTTTCACTACTCTCACAGCTCACAGAAAAGAACTTCTTCCTTTTATCTAACCTGAACTTCACCTGTTTAAGTTTTAACCCATTACCCTTTGTCTCATCACTACAGTCCCTAATGAAGAATATTCCCTGTTGAAGAAAATAACATTATTACTCGTATAAAACTACCATAACTGGATCTAACAATCTGGTGGTCTCAGATGCCCTCTGATGTACTCGTCCAGACAACCCCTGGCATATCAGGGCTGAAGCCCACCTCCGTGTCCCATTGGGACAGAACTCAATTTCACTAAGCACTGTGACAGCTGCCACCACCTTGTTCAGATGAAGCAGGAGGACTGTGTTCAGAGTTCTCTGCATTGCTGTAACTCCTACAGTGTCACTGGAAACTGTGATAATTTCATAACACTTGAAAATGAAGTTCCCTCATTTGTAAAATAATAACAGTACAATGTTGGTAAAACCTCAAAAAGGTTTTGCAGTAATTAATGTCAAATGAACATTTCATGGTGGAAACGCTATTTCAGAAGCTAAATAAATAGTTTTGCTTTGCCAAGCCCCACTCCTTCCCCCCTCCCCCTGCTTAGTGCCCTACTTTGCTACTGTATTTGAATCCAACTAAGAATTTTCTTCTCAGGAAATCCTTCATTTTGAGGATAGGTGGGTATAATTGTTTCCACTCGTTCTCTGTCCTTGCTTCCCTTGACCATACCAACTAAAAAGGCTCCCTTATCTGAAGAAACAAACACCTTCCTTATTCTCAGACAATAAGCTTCACTCCCCCACACTCAAATTAAATAATTTAATACCTTTATTGGACCCTAACTTGTGATAAAAAGGATCCTCATTTTTAAAAGGATATTTTCTTTTCAATGCTATACTCCTTTTCTAATTAATGTATTCCATAAACCTAAAGCTACTTTGATTCTGTGGTTAATTAAAAAACTAAATATAAATCCCTTTTTAATGAGCTGCTCTGATTTTTTTTTAGTCTTCTTAATGATTATTCAGGACATTAGGAGCATATTCCTCCAGCCCTCATACTTTAAATTACCAGGTTGTATTCCCCAGCCGAGTTCTCTCAGGATTACATGCACTGCCTAACTAACATGCCCTAGAGGAAATATTACAATGTTGTTTTTCACCATTCATAAACATAAAACTAAATCAGCAAGTTACCCCTCAGCAGGGTCCAGTGCTAATGCCCGGGGACTGTCGAGATCTTTCCACACCAGCACTTGGCGATGCTGTCCATCCAGTTTTGACACTTCTATACGATTTGTTCCAGTATCAGCCCAGTACAAGTTCTTTCCCAGCCAATCTACAGCCATCCCTTCTGGGTAATCCAAGCCAAACTCCACAACATGTTCCAGTGCACTGCCATTCATAAATGCTCTGCTGATGGTCTGCAGGGATACAAAGATACACAGGCAAATTAGAAATTTTACCAGTCTGTCATTGGACTGGTCGCTTTCTTTGTTGCATTTTAAACACTTTCAGATTTTAGGCACCTCATAGGAAAGACGATCTTACAATATGCTACTTATTTGCAAGGCGAACAATGCTACTATTCAGAGGTAATGATTTACTGTACTCTATGAATGTATTCTGTGTCAATTACAATAGTGTTTCACTGGGGAAATAAATGGATAACTAGTCTGGTTCAATTAAGCAGTCTACATGCCAAAGTGACCTTAATAACTCAGTGCCAGCTTCGAAGGGGAAATATTCTAGCTCTCCCAGGACTATACAAAAGCATAGATGTTATATCATGGAGCATTATTTAAAGCAGCCTAATGAAAAAGTTCAGGACAGAATAGCAAATAGAATAAAACAATCTAACAACTGATCAGCTCACTAGCACAAGTCGTTCAATACTGATGGTTTAATTTAATTTCACCAAGTATAATTTCTTCTTGGCCTTTATTCAAAAGACTTAACTCTTGCCATTGTGGATCAGCCTCTGATAACAAATACAGCTAGAATTACATTTTAATAATACATCAGAGTTCAGACATTCGCCGATTTACTATAACCACTTATAAGCCTAAAAGTAAAGAAATAATATTAGAATGGTATAAAATTTTTTTTGGCATACATGGGCTTCCTTTCTGTGTCCTTAATATTCCCTTCCACACAGACTCCTCATACCCATAGCCCATCAGAAGTTAACATAAAGACCAACAGTTTATTTACTTCCCAGTTTAGATGCTACCTGCTAATTACGCCAGTTTGTGACAGCACACAGCAGGGAAGTTTGTATCTCAGTCTTCATTTGTATCACCCTTAAAAATTGATCAGCTTTATTTGTATTTCGAACACAGCTCAGATTAAAACCATACCTAAAGAGTTCAGCCAAGTCACTTCTCTCAAGCTCACTTAAACCCTGTGGTTTTAACTTTTGTGATTCTTCAGTTACAAAGGCCCATGAGTTATTGTTGGCACAGGTCTCAACCCAAATGCAGAAAACTTTCATTAAAAACTCATTTTTGGTGCTCACAATTCTGAATACATCTACAACCCATGGAAAACAAAGGGAATAACCAGACTCACTGATAACAGAGATAACAGACAGACAATAGACAGATTTCTGCCACTCCATTAACCACATTTAAACACCTACTTCAACCTTTTCTGATTTGTCAGTATAGACCCTAGATGTGTTTTACAAAGGCTGTGATTCATAATACATCTCATGTGCAGTAGCTACACAAACTAATGAATAGGTAAGACTCGTTTTCACTTCCTGACCAAAGACAAGGCTTCCCCCTCTTAAATATATCTGGCAATAAAACCTTCTGCCATATGGCATTCTTCTCAGCTTTCTGCCAGAAAAACTGAATTTTTGCAAACTAATCCTTTATGTGAAAATGTCTACATTACATTTAAATAATGTGGTGGGTTGAACCTGTATGGATGCCATGTGTCTGCCAAAGCTGCTCAATCACACTCCCCCTCCTCAGCTGGACAGGGGAGAGAAAATATAACGGAAGGCTCTTGGGTTGAGATAAGGACAGGGAATCATCACTCAGCAATTACCATCACAGGCAAAACAGGCTCAACTTGGAGAAATTCAACTAAATTTATTACCAATCAGATCAAAGCAGGATAATGAGAAATAAAACTGAATCTTAAAACACTTTCCCCCTATCCCTCCCTTCTTCCTAGGCTTAACTTCACTTCCTATTTTCTCTACCTCTTCCGCCACAGTGGCAGGGGGATGGGAAATGGGGGCTGTGGTCAGTTCATAGACATTGTCTCTGCTGCTTCTTCATCCTCACAGGAAGACCTATTCATGCTCTTCCCCTGCTCCAGCATGAGGTCCCTCCCATGTGAGACAGTCCTCCACGAACTTCTCCAAAGGGAGCCCTCCCCACAGGCTGCAGTTCTTCACTAACTGCTTCAGCATGGATCCCCCATGGGGTCACACATCCTGCCAGCAAACCTGCTCCAACATGGTCTTCTCTTCCAATGGGGCCATAGGTCCTCACAGGAGCCTGCTCCAATGCAAGCTTCCCTGGGGGTCACAGCATTTCCCTGCTTTGGCATGGGGTCCTCCCTGGGCTGCAGGTGGATATCTGCTCCACCACAGACCTCCATGAGCTGCAGGGGCACAGCTGCCTCACCATGGTCTGCACCACAGGTTGCAGGGGAATCTGCTCTGGTACCTGGAGCACCTCCTCCCTCCTTCTGCACTGACCTTGGTGTCTGCAGAGCTGTTTCTCTCACATTGATTCCTCTCTCCTCTGGCTGCCATTTACTGTGCTGCAGTTTCCTTTCCCCTTCTTAAATTTATTATCCCAGAGCCGCTACCACTGTTGCTGATGGGCTGAGCCTTGGTTAGCGGCCAGTCTGTCTCAGAGCTGCTGGCATTGGCTCTATCAGACATACAGGAAGCTTCTAAAAGCTCTCGCAAAAGCCACTCCTGTAGCTCCCTCCTACCAAAACCTTGCCACGCAAATCCAGTACAAATGATTCATAGGAGAGAATGCTGTTAGTGTGCCATTCTTAGTTAGAACAAGCTCTTTTACCTATCTTTTGAATCTTGTAAATCACCCTGTCTATCCATCCTTTAGCATCTCAAGAACCTTGTAGCAACCTAACAGCCAATACAGAAAAAACCTCTACCTTCAGTGAAATGTCAGTCCAGTAAATCCGATTGTCTGTCACATCAAAATCCAGAGCAGAAGCTTCCTTGACTCCAGTGAGTGGAATAGCAACGTTGTTGTTGTTCGTTTCTAAAGAGATTCGTCTGATGTCTGCTCTCCGAGAGAACAGCAGGAAAGCTTCTGGGACGATACAGGTCTTCATATCACTGATGAGCTCTAAGCCTATGGGGCAAGCGCAGCGAAGGCCTTGTGGTCGGTACAGACACAGGTGGCTGCAGCCACCATTGTCCTCTGCACAAGGGTTTGTACCTAAGCATGCAACAAAAGCAAAAACAATCATTGTAAACTGACTTCAGCTGGAAGATGAAGCCAGTCTTCATACGCATCAACGACACTATGAGTCCCTAAAGAAATACATATCGTTTTTCACCTTTTATTCTCTGAATGAAGTAATTTTTTCTCATCTCCTGTAATCCTTTAGACAGATGTTACTCTACTTGGCTGTAAAGACGGTGCTTGTTTTCCTGACCCCGTGAAATAAACCCAGCATGAGGGAAAGGGATCTGGACTCCAACAGCCACATGCTCCTGATTCACAGCACAGGCAATGTATAGACAGTAAACATCTAAGTAAACAAGTGTATGTTTCACTGCCTTTTGCAGTACACTGATCCAGTTACATACCCCAATTGTGTTCCTAGAGATGAAAAATTTGCAGATCTATTTTCACATCCATTCAACAGTCTCTTCTCCCCAGGATGCTAGTAAAGTAGCTCTTCGCCATACTAATTTGTGTACCTGCACATGCTGGAAATCCACCTACTAAGAGAGGCCTAGCATTACCAAGCTCCATTAGCCACACAGTTGGAAAGAGACCTGCATTTAAAGCACACGTACCTTAGGGCACCTTGTCAACATGGTAGCAAGGGTACACCTCAACTACGTTTGACTGATTTCCTGTGGTACAATCCAGACATGGCAACAAGAAGCTGCAAGCCTTGTTCACATACCCAGATATTGAAGGAATGTGATGAATCCTGTGATGCTGCAGTTAGACCACTACTGGTGTTTAGATAGCCAACAATAGCCAATTTAAAGCTAGACTGTGCTTTTTAACACCACAGACACTCCCGGGCAGAAAGAACTTCTAGTTATTTTTAAAGATGATTTTGCATTATTAATGTGAAAAGTACTGAACTGACCAAAACTGGCTCATTCATAGCTTTCTCATATTTCACATATTCAGACTGCAAGATGAAAAGCTGCTACAGCTGCAGTTTCATAAACAGCTGGGATAATCTAATGCTGGCTGTTACAAAGACAAGTCCTCATTTTCCATGATCCTTCTCCCCATACTGGATCCAGGACATTTCAGACCTATGAGCTGCTCCAATTTCCCTAAGCAGCAGAAAATTACTCATTTTGGGGAGTGCCTGGTTGTTTTCCAGCTTGATATTCTTCCAAATTAGAGAACTGAAGCACCTCACAAAAGGCCTACCCTATCCCAAACTGCAGCCTGCAGTTACCACGCAATAGAACTGGATTCTACCTATTTCTGAAAATGTAATTTGTTAGAAAGTAATACCTGCAGAAGAGCACTGCTGAAATTTTCTATTTCATTTTACTTGCCTGATGAGCAGTCTCACTCACCGATTATCTGGCGGACGTTTGTAGCTTTCAGGCCCATTAGATCAGGCAGCTGATCTATGATGATCTCTCTCTCTGCTGTGCGTTTATGCACACGTTCAATACTGCGTCTTTGCCAGTCTGTCCAATAAACATAGTCTCCCAACAATGTGAATCCAAAGATATGAGGCAGCTTGTCCTCCACCAGAATTCTTCTCCCAGTTCCATCAGCATTCATGACCTATGGATATACACAAACTTATTACATATACAGAATAAATCTGTCAGTGTTTAGCAGAGATTGATTAACTAGCCACTCCACTTATGACTTCAAATTAAAAAATAACCTCCCGGTCATTAAAATGCTATCAATGTTACACAGGGGTCTATTAAAAAAACAAAACTATTTCAACAGATACTTATTCTAAAAGCCATGGAGGATCCCTCATGTATAAGGTTAGTTTCATAAACAGAGCATAATGTGAAATTATGCTATAACATTCCTTATATTTGCTTTAGGAACTAGTATTATATGTTCCTGTTAAGACATTGCCTCTCTCTCTCGTTTCTGACTTATCTCTTGGTTTAGTTTTAAATGGGAGACACCATTTTACACAAATGAAGACAAGCTTACAATGTCAAGGGGTCCTGGCTCGACATCTTGTAGTCCACAGACTCTTCCAAGTGAGCTTTGCCCAAATTACAGACAGCAGTAAGAGGAGGCCCCGCATAAATTCTGAGGCAAACAGTCACGAGGATCTACAGAATTTGTTTATATTCCCAAATCTGAACAAAGAACCAGTTTTACATTCTTCAAAATTAAGTTCAGTATTTTCTGTGCTAGAAGGAACAGTAATAGTCTGTAAATAATTGCATGCTTTTGATCAAGACACTTGAATTTACTGTGTCATTTTTCTCTACTGCTAAAAAGAAGTCATACCTAACTTCCTCAAAGAGGCACTGAAAGGATTAATTGAACATATGTATGCATGTTCAAGTGATCAAGTACCTTATGAATGCCAAGTATTATTATTAAAAGTACCATACTGACAGGAGTGAGAGTCCTATGTTTTAAGCATAAAAATGATTCAGTACTACAATTTTATAGAAAAGTTCCTTCTAAAGTATTTCTGCTTGTTTCAAGTTTACAGCATGTAAAAAATAAACCCCACCCCACAACCTTAATATAAAAGCTTCCCAAAGCAGTGGGAGTCACAAAATTCAAGGCAGCATACCAATCCCTAAAACATTACAACACCCTTCTACTACCCAAAAACATTCCAAGTTAAAGACTGGGAAAAAGTGACTTATTAAATCACTGTTTTCAAATCTCACTCATTTGCCTTGTGGAATTAAGATAGCTTAGACAAGTCTGTATGATTTCCCATTCTTCTCATGGCTCAAACCCAGAGACTTGTGCAATGACAACCTTGAGGATCAATTGGTTTAGTAACTCTGGCTAGATGGATGATGTTTGTGGTCAGAAGAATTTCCTATCTCATGAGAAATGAGAAGGCTAGTTTAGAGCAAATCCTACCTTTTGTCTACCCAAGCACAGATTTGGAGGGAAGAAGGAAAGGAATAGAGAAACAGAACTGAAACCCGTAGCTTTCTCAGCATACAGTGTAATGTGCATGTTAATAAAATATTTTAAATTCATTAAAAAAGTGGAATAAAATGCTATAATCTTCACAATAACTCAAGAGCTCCTTAAAACTATTCCCTGCCATAAACTTCCACTGCTGCATTTACTCTCAGGATGTTAGAAAGGGAACTGAATCTTCATGTGCACATGAAAGGGGGTCTGCGTACTTGCTGGCTTGTAGTAATAAGCTTCACATTTATTTTTTAAAAAAACCCTCATAATTAATCTGTGAAATTGGCTTACCAAAAAAATCTTCAGTCTAGAAGCGTACACAGCACGCTTGGACAAATGCACTAACGCACACGCATCACAAAAATAAGATGAGCACTACTTGGTTAAATGTTTTTGGTTTTTCCCCTACATTCTCTCCAAGATCCTTTAGAAAGTTAAGCATGGTACTTGCAGCTTCACTTTGTATTACGGTGCATTTACTATCCTAAATCTGTAACTTATGTCCTTTTACACTGATAACCAAATCCAAACATAGCTTTTCCTATCACAGATTGTTTAGCTGGGCTCAGAGCCCAGCATAATTGCCTAATTCCTGGACTTCCTTTTGAAAACAGCCCTGCTATTGCATTTATTCTACTTCAGAAAATTCAGCATCTGCTGGCTCTCTCAATTACTAGCACCATGAATCCTACACCGTGTTTTGATAAATGATGTTGCTAAACAACAAACTAACTTTAGCACCAGGGACACAAATCTAAAATCTGTAAAATAAACTGTGAGTTACAGTCCTTAAGCCCACTGTCCATTCAAGAAACCATCACAACCACCAACCAAAACTGGTCATCCCCTTTTGTCTACCATCCCTTTTCTAACCATAACACAGTAATCTTAATTTCTGTAATGACTTGTTTTCCCCTCCCCCTTAAACTACAGAGATAAGCCATTTGCTTGCAGCTAATTAATACATGGCAATTAGTGCTTGATAAGCAGACCAAAAAGATACACAGAATGGATGGATGTTGCAAAGTGAGTCAACTAAAATCACGAAGTAATAAACAGTAAAACATCACTATCACAAAGCAGTATCTTAAGATATTACGCTTTTTGCCTTGTACTTAATAAAAGGAAGAGAATTCTATATTTAAGGGGGTGCTTAACTACTGGCAAAGAGAAGATGTATGGTGTGGGATGAACTTTCTTTGGCAAACTTTTGGGGAGCTGTTAGATATGCTTCCTCTTATAATGAAAGAAAGTCAGGAAAAGAGAAGGTAGGACTTAAGGATTAAGTATCTGATTTTAGTTAATTTTTATTCTGCCACATAAGAGTTACTCTGAAAGACAGCTTTATGTCACCTAGACAAAACAGGCGCCTATCTGAAAGTACTTATACATACCTGACATCCTATTGCCACTACAATCTTACCTGCGCACATCTGTGCAATATTACTCAGAATAAACAGCCACCCACCAGCAGCCAGGTACTACAATATGAATAGTTCCATGGCACCACATTGTCTGCATTCACTTTGGCTTTATTTTAGGAGATTTGAATAGAATTTCACCAATACTACAGAACCAAACAGTCTGGTGAAAGGCGGAAGGAAAGTGGCAATGGATATAGAAATGATACACATAATAAGAACAAGGAAAAAGAGACAATCACTAATCAGCCAATTTCAAAGGATTTCAGCATCAATTTAGCACATACTGAAATTCAGTCGACAACTGAGTCCTAGCCAATACTACTTTATGCATTGATTCCCCTTCTCCAGCCCCATATGGATCAGCTCATCACAGGGAAGCCTATCCCACAGAATCCCCCCTACAAGAAACCCATCTTCTGCTGCTACGAAGCAGTGTCTCCGGCAGTTTATGCTGCCTTTAACCACAATGTGGTGTGGGTTTCACATTCTGAGGCCATTCTAAATACTGCAAACCACAGTGAGGATATAGACTACAACAGGAAACAGATGTGGTGCAACCACAAACACTACCTTTCGTGAAAGAGCAAGTAGTTCTATGAAAAAAAAAGCAGCATAAAAATTAAATGGTCTTAGAAAAAATACCAGATATCCTGCCTGTAGGATAAGGGCTTTGCTAGAACAATAATGAATGCAAACCTACGGCCTCATGAAAATACAGCTTATTCAAAATAAATTAATCCTGAAAATGCGGTTGCATTTTAAGCTGCTGTACTTAATGGTCAGCAGG